TGGATATGTATATATATGTATATATATGTATATATATATATATATTTATATTTATATTTTTTTTTATGTATCGGATCGGTACTTGGTTTCGACCGACTTTGTCAGAGGGTACCCAGTTTTCCATTTTTCCCTGAAACAGATCTAATGTTCGTCAGTCTTACTGGCAGAGCAAAGACATAATTCCCTTTTGGGATGGGGAGACTTTTGAAAAGTTAAAAAGTTGTCCACACATGGATGCAATGTTGCAATGTTACGACCGAAGAACCGAAACCTATTAATGTTTCAGCTGCAGCGTTTTCATGTATGACAGTATTGTTCACTTTTCCCACCACATGCCACCTTATAAAATATTAGGCTGTTGAAGTAGCACCATTATGACCAACGCAGGGAGGCAGGTTTGTTCCTAACAAGTATATTTATTATTGACTGCTGTTGAATCCTGAACGGAAATGCTTCAAGGATCAGAGCTAATTTTGTAGTCAAGAGTGGGTGCTTTTTTCACTTGTAGTTTTCTTTTTGTTGTTATCAGTATGGATTTGCTTATATACATACTCAAACATTGATTCCTGAACAGAACTGGTTCAAGAACCAAAGTTAATTTGTAACTTCTGGTCCACACTTCTCTTCCCAATAGTTGAAACCATTCCTTTTATGTCCACATAATACACTACTGAACCAATCTTAAGACCAGGGGAAAAAGTATTTGCATTTTGCGCTGGTGGAACATAACCAGGTTGCAAGTGGAGCTTCAAAATGCAAAAAGAAGAAACAGGAGACAAAAAAAGTAGGCAGTTTATTGAAAACTGCATTCAAACTCAAACAGCCTGTTCATCAGCTGATTAAAAGTTTAAAACCATAGGCCAAAAAAAACAACAACCAAAAACAGAACTAAAAGTGTCAAAAAAGGACTCAGTAGTAAGTAGCCCCACCGTTGTTGTCGATCACTTCAAAAATTCCTTGAGCATTTTTGATGCAAGTGTTTCCAGTGGGATGAAGATAGTAAAAAAAGATGGCTTCACAAAGGGCATCCACGGTCTGGAACTGATGAAACTTCCCTTGCCATCCATCCCCAAAGGTTCTTAATGGGATTTAGACCAGGGGAACACGCAGGATGGTCCAAAAGAGCAATATTATTCTCCTGGAAAAGGTGCTTTGTCAGGTGGGCGTTGTGAACTGCAGCGTTGTCCTGTTAAAAGACCCAGTCATCACCACACAGACGAGGGCCCTCAGTCAAGAGGGATGCCCGCTGCAACATCTCCACATAGCCAGCCGCATTTTGACGTCCCTGCACAACCTAAACCTCCATTGTTCTATTGAAGGAAAAAGCTCCCCAGACCATGATAGAACCTCCTCCACTGTGCCGCGTAGAAAACATCTCCAGTGGTATCTCCTTGTCATGCCAGTAACGTTGGAAGCCATCAGGATCGTCCAGGTTAAATTTTTTCTCGCCAGAGAATAAAACGTCCAACTTTCAGTGTCCCAAACACGAAAATAAAATGAAAAAGACCAGATGTCTTGCTGCGTCCAACTTCATCAGCGATGGCGCGTTGCGAGAGGCCTTGCTTCTGCAGCTCAACAATCCTGCTACGTTCAAAGACAGAAAGCCTTTTTTGCCTTTTGCACATCAGGTCATTACAGTGGAATCCTCATAGAAATAAAAACATTTTTTAGCCAATATTTTGACTTTTTAGCTAATGTCCTAAACTTTTGATCAGCTGATGAACAGTCTGTTTGAGTTTAAATGCAGTTTTCCCTATATTGCCTACTCTATTTTTTTTCTTTTTGCATTTTGAAGCTCTACTTACAACCTGGTTACGTTCCACCAGCGCAAAATGCGAATACCTCTTCTTGCCATCAAATTTGAACTTAGAACTATGTTGATACATGCTACATGCATGAACATAGCTGGCTGATACTGAACCAAAATATTACCACTAGAGAGAGAACCAGTGGTTGAGGAAAATATCATGTATGGTTGTCGTGGACTAACACCTGGTTTGTTGTTGTAGTAACAACTGAAAATAACAGAATGACATCAGAAAAAAATCAGAATATCACTCATCCAGAGTTCTGTTTTTAAAATCGAATTAGATTTTTGGCAAGAAATCCTGGAAATTACAAGAAAAGTGTTGTATTTCCTGCAAGTAAAAAAATCTATCCTGTTATGCATGTGTCCTCAATGGGAGAGACAAAGGCAATGACGTGAAATAGTTAGTGAGGCAGAGTTTTCTTCGTAAACCACGAATTGTTTTAGCTGCAGGATTTTTTCTAACTGTATCCTGTCTCTTATTCAGGTTCTCTATGGGAAGGTGAGTGTTCGCTGTTTTGACAAGCTGGAGGATAACCTGACTTTCAGCACTGTGCCGCCTCATTTCGAGCCTCCACTGGCTCCATTCCAGACGGCCTCCCTGCGGCGCTCCGTGCTCCGCTCAGTCGCTGAGTACTCAGAAAACAGCGGGCCGTGCCTCCTCACTCCTGTACGGGATAACCTTCATCAGATTGACGCAGTGGAGGGGCCGGCTGCGTTCCTGGATATCCTGGCACCTCCGTATAATCCAGATGATGGACGGGACTGTCACTATTACAAGGTCCTGCAAACTATGGCAGAGGGGGAAACTGATGGATAAGAGCAATGAGGAGCAGCAGGAAGAGGAGAAGGAGCAACAAGAGGAGACATGGCTGCTAGAAGTCCCTCAACCAGAGGACTTCTGGTGTGGTGGGGAACCCTACCTAGGCCCTGCAGTCTCGATCTGAATGAAACCTCTGATCAGAGGAAGCACACTGCAGTATATGACCGTGTTTACATAGTGTTGTCCATCTATACACAAGGGGAAACTGTTAGCCCTGTTCCACAGGGAAATCAAACATGAGGGTCATTATTACCTGGAAGTCAAAGGGATTAAGTGCCTTGCTCAAAGGATGCTACAGCAGGGCAGAAGGTTGTAGAAACATGAGCTTGACAGAGAATCAGGACCACTGAACTGCCTTCCACAAACCGCCAATAACTTTGTACTGAGCAAAGAGTTGACTCAAGGAATTCACATTCCTAATATTTGTCAGGATTATTAGGTTGCCTTGTACACACATGAATGTCATCTGTCAAATGTTCTGTGAACGCTGGGGTGTCATTAGGTACTCTTATGTGAGGCTTGGAAAACCTTGCACACATTTTTTTCTCACTCTGCGGCAGAGGTTTTCCATATTGTAACATGTCTTAATGCCAAAGCCTGTAACTCGAGTTGAATATTGAATGTATACTTATTAAGAGTGCCATTTCTATTGTACACATTCATTTCCTTTTCCAAAGTGCACAGACTACATAATATATACCTTATTTTTATTTTATGTGTTTAAAGGGGAAAAAGATGATATTCAGCTTTTTCTACATATTCTATGATGTCATGTCTCCTACTGTAGCTCAATCTAGAGTCATATAGTATATATGATGCATCATATCATACTGTAGGTCCAGTGTTTAGGATTTAGTGGTGTAGTTGCAAATTCAAACTATCTAGCTTCACCTTCCCCTTCCAAGTGCGAAGGAGAATCTACGGTGGCTGCAAAACACATAAAAAACAGCCCTATCTAGAGCCAGAGTTTGGTTTATCCATTCTGGGCTGCTGTAGAAACATGGTGGTTCAACATGGCGGCCTCCACAGAAGGTGACCTGCAACATCTGTAGATAAAAACTCATTCTAAGGTAACAAAAGCATAATTTTTTTAAGTGGTTATACGCACTCAATTGACAAAACTATACATAGATGCCTGAACTAAGTTATATGCAATTTTCTGGTCCTCCTCAAATGTTCACCACCACTGGACCTTTAAAGACTGAATGATGTCTTTAAACCAGTTCAGAACGTATAGGCTAAGTAAAAACTGTGTCATTTTCATTGTATAAAGCTAACACACTTTATTCATTATCTTTACATGTAGCTTGATAAACACTATATCATTCTAACCTGTATGTTAGACTTTAGCTTATATCTCAATCCTCCTTTGGCTTATATAAGACTTCACACAGGTTAGTGTGTCAGTTTGACTCTGATTCTGCCACTGATGTTTAATGTATGTGAAACAATAAAATAGATTGTAATAATCATGGAACTTTTAATTTGTTTGCTGTCTTGTACTGCTAGTTCTGTATGATGTCTGTATAATCTTTCTTTATTTTCAGGATATGTACCACAGTCTTTAAAATAGCTGTAATTAAACCCCTTCTTTAAAAACCCACTTTTGTCCCAGGGGTTTTAGCCAAATATAGACCAACAGTTGAAATTAAATTATTTAACCCCCATTGCAAATTAGGTTTATTGGTAAAATTTATTTTTTTTTAGCTTTGTGCAAACAGTTTAAATAGTTAAAAAAAAAACTAATATTACAAGGGTTTTATCCAAATTCAACACAAAATGCTGTAGTCAAATATAGTCATTAAAAGTGGCATTTTGTGGCCCAGGTGACCCTGAACCATCCCTTAGTTATGCTGCCATTGGCTCATTATCATTTATCCTGGCTGTGCCTGCTGCCATGGTCCTGCTTGATCCCCACTGCTAATATTAATGATATTATTATTATTATTGTCGTTGTCGTCAGTCATCTGTCATTTTTACTCAAAGCCATCAACCTGTCTTTTAGACCCCATCCCAACTAGGCTGCTTAAAGAAGTCTTACCCTTAGTTGGCACTTCTTTACTAGATATGATCAATCTTTCTTTATTGTCAGGATATGTACGACAGTCCTTTAAAGAAGCTGTAATTAAACCCCTTCTTAAAAAGCCCAAAACCCCTACACAACCCTTTCCTCCAGTATCTTACAGAGGAACGGGGAGGTTAGAGAATAGCGTTAATAAGTCTAGTTACACACCCTGGGTGCCAGAGTGGC